GTGAATAGGGGAATGAAGCAGGATTCCAAGCCAAGAAGTGTGGCACAGAGCTTATCCCATCTCCTGTCAGGAAGACAAAGTATCTTGCAGGAAACTCAGAAACAAATCATTTAAAAAATAGTATTGTCCCTACCAGACATCATAGGCTAGCAAAGTAAAAGCCTGATGCCAGGAATGGATTCCCTCTTTTTTAGGCTGTTGACCAGGGATCCCATAGACCCTCAAACAATACTGGTCATTGCTCCTCCTCTTTGCTCTTGGTTATAAACCAGAATACCCCAGAAAGATCCTATTGCTGAAGATACTACAGATATGAACTATAGAACAAGCAAGGAAAAAAATCAAGCTGGTGCTGACTTCAAAGCCTAATCTCTACTGGCTAACTTTCAGAGTGCTGGAAGGTGCTACGCATGCTACCTGAAGAGAAAATTAATCTTCAACCTTATCCAACTGTGACCTGTGAGATATAACTGGTCTGGCAGAATATGTCCACCAGTGCAATAGTGGCACAAATATTATAGGAGTAACCCACCCCTCTTTAATTGGCTTGAAGGCTTGCTTCAGAAGATGGAACATTACTTGACATTGATATCAGGTCTAAGAACCTCTGGTTAGATAGGTCACAGGACAGAAAGAAGAGCCTAACACTATCATTCTGCTAAGTAGATATAGTACTAAACTGCCTCCTGATGACTTACTGTTATATCCATAAATTGATGCATCTGCCAATTCTCAACAGAGAAGCTTCCTTATGTAGCAGATGGTAATTAACAGAGAACCACAACTGGCCAGTGTGCAGAGAACAAGAGACTGCAGACTGCTTCTCCCTGAATAGGACACTATATCAAACTTCAGCCTTCCGAGGCTCGGGGATCACTGTAGAAGAGGGGTAGATTATAAGAGCTAGAGGTGGTGGGTGGCAGATACTCAGTTACTCGTATGAACTCACAGCAATGGTAATAGCATGCACAAGTTCCATGTAAGATCAATCCAGACAAAATCTCAGCATAGATAGAGGAAGTGGGTAACAAACCCCAACCCTATCTGAAGGAGTATTGGCAACTGATGGCTGGTGGGAGGGGGGGAGTCAGTCACATTTAAAGGTGATACTCTTTGTAGGTTTATCAGGCTCCAGTGAATGAACCCACACTGAAGGGGCATTTGGGGGTACAAATTTGACTCTATATAGACCTTAATGCATATACATATGAAATTGGGTGGGGGTTGTAAGGGAGGGGAATCTAAATATGATTGAAATATATTGTATGAAATTTGCAGAAATTCATTAAAATAATTTTTAAAAACTTATTCAATCTGGTTTTTTAGATAGGAAAATAAAAGCCCGAAAGAGAAAAGAACTTCCCAGCGTCTTGTCATGACTCAGTGCCAAAGACCTCAACTCCAGGTCAAGGCTCTTTTGTGTTTTATCTACATGGTCATTCTTGAGCATTCAGAGACTGCACAGAGATGGAACAGCTATGGAAGAAGGGGCAGTGACAGTTTAAGGGGGAATGGGAAACAAATGGCAGATGCCAACCTTGCATGGCCATGTGCCAATCCTCCAGAATAACTTCTAAATATGCAGTGGAACTTCCACATACTCTGACTACAATCTAGGTCCCTTGAAAACATCTGATGCACCTCAGCCCCTAGGCCACCATGACACTTTACAGAAAACTGTCTGTTGGTTCAGGGAAAGGAAGAAGAACCTGGAGACTTAAGGGACACTACTTGTATTCAAGCTACAACGTTTCCTGCAGGAATCACTAAGAGGAAGAAATGAGGAATAAAGAAGACAGGATCCGTGTCTGCATGTCTGCCCTCACCTCTTGATGGTTCATTGCTATCTGAGCCATATCACTACCACAGCTGCCACAGCTCTGCTGAGTTCTTCCCAGCACTGCCCCTGTACCTCCTCCTCAAGTTTTGATCCAAGACATGCTGGTTCTCATTCAGTTCTTCAATAGATCATGTTTGTTCACTCTTCAGATGTTTACAGGAACTGGCCCTTCTGTCTGGAATGTTCTTGAGCTCTGTTTCCTCCACCAAACCAAGTCCTCTTCATTTACTTTATGCTACTGGTACCAAGAACTCAGTTTAAATATCACTTCCTCAGAGAAGTCTTCCTGGAGCTCACAAAATCCCTTGGCATACACTTTTAACCCACCAGCCCAAACTTGTCCTTGGTACTTTTCAGTCTGACTTCACATCATGTGACAGTGTCATGAATATCTGTCTTCTCTACAAGTCTATATATACCACGAACATAAGGATCATGTAGGTGTCATGGGTATCATGCAGTAGTAGAGTTCCTATCTAGCATGCATGAGGATCTGGGTTAGATTCTCAGCATTGGGGCGGGGGGGAAGATTACATCCACTTGTAATAGACATAGTGTGGGTACTCAAAAATAATGAATGAATGAATGAATGAATGAATGAATAGTACTTCCAGCTTGCCAGGTCTCTTACAGGGAGAACAGTGACATCTAGTGTCCACTTTCACAATCTCAAACACCAGTGTGGGTACTCAAAAATAATGAATGAATGAATGAATGAATGAATAGTACTTCCAGCTTGCCAGGTCTCTTACAGGGAGAACAGTGACATCTAGTGTCCACTTTCACAATCTTGGGCTTCTCTGAAATATCATGCATTGACTTAGAAATACTTAACTAGATTTCCAAAACATTGAACATTTCAACCATGTTGAGCAAAGCTGGTATAAAGTCCAGACATAGGGGACTCTGGCTCTTGATCCAAAAGTAAAGGAATGATCACCTTCTCAACTGCCATACATGTGTCAGGAACACACTGCAAAGGTTCCATAGCTTAGCTGGTATTGTACATACTACAGATGAAGAAGGTAAGAGGCAGCCATTGGGGTGCACTCACGGAGCAGTAAATAGGATATTCATAGCCCCACTCATGAAGTTCCAGAGACACAGTCCCACATAGCCCCCAGTGTGCTGTTTTGCTTGCCCTCCCTCACACAATACTAGTTAGAACACCTGTGTTATTCCCTGAACATTGCAAGAGCATCTTCACATATATCCCTGCCTCCAGTCATATTCCTATAATGTGCTCTCACACTGAAGCCAGAGGCATGAAGAATATGTGTGTATTGGTTGATTATTGATTTCTGGTAGTTTGGGAACCTTCAGTGTAGCCACAGAATTAGACTATAGATGATGCTTGGCTCTAAACTCAAGCTCATTCCATGTCTTGTGTGGTGAGACTATTCTTATTCGTTCAATATTTAATAAATAGTTTTAATGCTATAATAAACTCTAATAAATCTACCACCAAGTCATAATTTAGAAATGTGGTTAATAACAGGTAACATTTGTTTCCTTGTGACATTGCCTAACTTCCCCAACCCAAGATTATCCTCATGTCCTATATTCAATATTTCCTTGCTTCCTTTGGTATATAGTCTTACTGTACTGTATTCAGTCTTCAAAGGCAGTGCATTTTAGGTGTGAGTGTGTTTCACTCTACAAACAGGGAAAGGATAATGTGCTATGTAAAAATCTATCTTTGGACTATATTTTCTACATTTACTATTCATTCATTTCACATTGATAGGAGGTACCATAAGTGATTGATTTGGGCTACTATAATGTCTACTATATGAAAACTCCACCCATTACTTAAGTGCTCTACAATTGATGGTAACGTGAGTTGTTCATATAAGACTTTTTCTATAGCACAAACCTAATCCCACCAGTCTCTGTTAGTCATATATATATCCATTATTGCATCATCCCCTAAAATAGGATCCCACTCCACACCTGGCTTACAGTATCCCAATTTATCAAACGCCTTCAGCCCCTTCATGTCATGTGGTCTCCCTCCGTCTCCGGGCCTTAGTCTTGGGGAATATCTTCAGAAGACTGCATAGCCCTTGTGCCTTCTTAGGTCATCAACCTGATGCTCTGCTCACCTTAATCACAAACCTTCTCTGTCCTCTATAAAGCCCTATCTGATCCCATGCCACTTTTTAGCACTTAGTTAAGAAGGTACTGTGAGGGGCATATACTCCATAGAGTTCTATCGGACTCGGTCATCTACTAGATTGACTGCTGTCTGCCTATGAGTTGCTACAGAGGGATGAGTGGGGATCAATAAAAGATGTTTTAACCACTTTCAACTTCATCATTGAACAACAGTAATATTACTATTCCTAAGTTATGGACCTTGGTTCCTGGAACACTGTACTTTAAAAAGTGCTAAAAGGAAAAGGAACAGAAGAGATATTATTTCATGGTTAAACACGTTCCGTTCTGGAGAGAACCAACTTTGAGAAAAACACTTCAGGTCTGTGAAGTTGGCTCAGTAGGCTTGACCATATAGAACTGCCATTTTGTAACACAAAAATAAAATGGTCAACCATCAGCAATTTCATGTAAATCAACACAATTTTTTAAAGTAAATCACAGACTTGGAAGAAATGAAACAAACATTGCTGGTTTTTTTCCAAACACATGCATTCTCCTAGGTACCTCAGATAAAAGGCATTTCTCTGTCTCCGTGGTAGATACGTTCAGACAATGACTGAGTTGTAACTTACGAAACTGGAATTAGCATTTGCTGCCTGCAAAGCTTGGTCAACTTAAAGTTTTTACATGTGATCCTGCATATCCCTCTTTGTCCATATGATCTTGTAAACCTCAGGTAATTGGTACAAAAATATCACAGGCTAGGTCCCTGAATCTCTTCTCAGAGTGAAATCACCCTATCAATCAAAAACATCTATTTGAGACTATACAAAGTAATGTCTACTATGTTAGGACACTGAGGTCTGAAGCTTCATCAGTTATTGTAGCCAGTATCAGTTATTGTATACATACTTAGAGTATAACAAGGGATCAATAAATGCCAGTAATCATCAGGTTCCTGTTGATGATGATTACGACTATCCCTGGAAAAGGGTCCACAAAGGCAGGAGCTAAGAAGACTGGTCAGGTTTGGCTTGGCAGCTGGGCCAAGGGAGCTCACCTCCTTTGTGCCATTGTCTTGGATGAGGGTGTAAAGTGGTACCACACGGTTAATCTCCAGCAGCACGGGCGTCGGGCTCAGCTGCTCCTTGCCTGGCCGACGGCAAAGGTGGCAGGTGGAGGGACAGCGGCCCTTCTCCTCACAGCGAATCTCCACACCTGAGATGAGTTGGTCATCTGACAGCATCTGGGCTGTCAGCAGACCGGAGAGGTAGGTGATGAAGGGCATGGACTTGAGCTCCTTCTTGCTGCCCAGCTCTGTGGTCTCTGGGGGTTTACAAAAACAAGCAGTAGCACAGGTCAATTCAATATTGTTCAAAGGACCAAACTCGTAAACCCACAAAGAGCATGTACTGAGGAGTTGGCACCTGTTGGAAAAGAACAAAGATAATGGGGTGATTTGTTCGTGATGCTTTGGAAAGATCTCTGGCCTAGGGGTTCGGGGAACAGCAGCAGGTCTTCTTCTGCCATTTACACTAGACAGTCCCTGGCTTTCTCTAGCCTTCACGTTCCCCATGTTAAATTTGTAGGTTTCACAAAGATTCAACAAGCAAGATGTAAATACTCAAAGATATTTTCCCCAACCAGAAATTCCCTTCTATCATTAACTTAAACAAATTACACCCTTCCTTTAAGTCTTTCTTCCAGTTTTATATTTTCCATAAAACAGTATATGAGAGAAGTATGAGATTTGGGTCAAGCCAACTTCAGTTTAAAGACAATTTTGTTTGGTTAAACCTCTTCAACTTTGGAAAATCTCTTAATGTTTATGACATTCAAATCATTAATTGTTTTGAAATGGGGCAAATGAGGCAATGAAATCAGTTATAGGTGCCGAATGACATAGAAGGATGTGGAATTGTCTGGAACAGACATTATTTCTTCTCTCTTTGGGGCCTCACCTGTTCCCCGCTCTTCCTGCTCATCTCACTGTGTGTTCTCTGCGATGTGATTCATGCATTCTATTCTGTGCTCCATCTTGTGACCTATACCACTGGTATTTCTCATCTGTTTCTTTGCTCACCTATCCAGCTTTTTTCTTGTGCCCTAGAAATCCTCTATGACCATTCTGCTCTATTTTAATCTACCTCTTTGGGAAGTCTTTTCTTGTTGCCTAAACTGATTGTCGGAATGAATACATCTACTTCAGAAATGTTCTTAAATTCTCTTTCCTTTCCCATTTTCTCTGACTTCTTAAATCACATTACTAACTTTGAAGAGCAGGGCCCATGTGACCTATTCCTGGCCATTTTGAGTATGTAATATACTTAGTGTTCAAAAAGGGAGCTAGCAGAACTATGAGTGGCTGGAACTACATTCATGATCTAGGTTAGAGACTCTGAAACGCTGAGGAATCCTAGAAATTGTAGGAAGTGGGCCAATTTGTAAAAGTGCCTGTCACACAAGCCTCATGACCTGAGTTCAGTCCCAGGAACCCACATAAAAGTGGGCGTGGACAAAGGGACCTGACTCCACAATGTTGTACTCTGGGCTCCACACATATGCTGTGATGTGCATGCCCACACACTCACAACACATACACACACACACACACACACACACAATTATAATATTAAGCACCTCAGCAACTGCTTCCACAGGACAAGAGGAAACTGAGTAGACACGTGCCAAACCCCATTTCAGCTTCAAATGCAACAGTGCCCCTTTTATTCAATAGACTGGCCTTCTCTACAAAATTTTATGCACAAAGAAAGGGTTCCGTGCTGTTCAAAATGCTCCAAGAGGCAATGTGATGAGCATAACGCCGAACATTACATTGTAGACTATGTGACTAATGACCTTGAACATGTGCAAGGCACAATCTAAGTACCAATGCAGAGGGACCCTATACTACGAGACAAAGTGTGGTCCAGATGGCAGCTTCTGCCAGGCCTGGTCAAAGCAAGATAAATCCCTACTTCAGTGGACACATGGGCCCCAGGCACTGAGGTCAAAATGAAAAGTAAGAGCTTTCGCTAGCTCTTCCTCTCGGCTTGCAGTGACATGCAGCTGATCTGGAAATGGGCTTGCCAATTAGAAATACAAATAAATGCAGCCTTCATTCATTATTCCCTGTGCCCTCGGGCCTGGGATCTGGGCTCCACCTTTTCTGTCTGGCTGTCATCAAATGCCTATGAACATCAGATCAAAGGCTCTGGGGGAGGAAGACAAGATTTCCAGCTAACCATTCCTTCAGAGGGATTAAAAAAGGGTAGTTACTATGATAAACAAAACAAGGCTGTGAAAGAGGTGTCCAGAGCTGAGCAAACTGAGGGAGTCTTATACGTAGCCAGGTTAAAGGACATGATAATGATGGTGGCCTTTGGACTTGTAAGCCAGACAGTTTTGAAGAAGGGTGACTTCAAACTTGGTAGAGAACAACCATTTGGGGAGCAGAGCAGGAAGAAGTCAGAGCAGTGAAGCTGTTAGAAATCAACTAGCTTACCTTCTGGACAAAAAACTATGGTGCATGAGGCAAAGTTATGGTCTTGTAAACAAAGTTTTATTGGAACACACACACACACACACACACACACACACACACACACTCATTTGTGTACTGTATATGACCACAGTAGAAGAATTGAGTAACACTAAAGACTCTGTGCCATGCCAAGATTAAAATGTGATGTCTCTTCATAGAAAAACTTTAGTAACTCCTATACATAACTCTAGTTCACAGAGTAGGAAATAGAGTTTCCAACCCAATGGACTCATCTACGGTCACACAGGAGTACAGCAGTATGAAGCATTTGTAAAAAAGTAAAAACATTGAAATCAAACAACCAATGTATTTATATTGTGACACTCAAAAGAGAAAAAAAATCAGAGTGGGACATCTTTTCTTCCAAATCCCAAAACAAAGTATTGAAAGAATACTGATTAGAAAAGTATGATAGAATATAATTCTCCAATTACAACCTAGGAGAAAAAGTATCTCAAGAAGGAAAATGACTTTCCAAGACCATATTAGTGAGTTAGTGACCAATTCATCACCTGAATTACTATTTTATTTACTTATTTTTACAGTGCTTGGGATTGAGCCTAGGGCTAAGAGAAAGGCAGGTTGGAGTATCTGTTTGCTTCTTTACTTTGTTACTTAGTTATTTTTGACACAGAAAGAATTTGAACTTATGATCCCCCTGCCTCTGACTCCAAGTACTGGGGTTAAATACTCATGTGCCACTAGTCCCGGCCAAGTGTCTTAAACATTAAGACACAGAAGGCATTCCCCCACAATTGCATTTTGCCATATGCAGATAATTTAATTGAGAAGAAATTTGATTTAGTCCTGGGGGCGGTTTTTTGGTTTTGTTTTGTTTTTTAAGATTTCCCTAGTCAAACAAATATTCCTAGTGACCTAGCTAAAGGTATAACTAACCATTTGCAACAAAATACTCAATAGACCTTTGGTATTCTGCTGTGACCAGTAAACCTTTAGCGTTTTCAATTTAGCATCCTGTTGTAAGTGGTAATCAAAGGCAACAACCCAGGCTAAAATCTGCTTCTGAGCAGTAGTATAAAATTAACAGAAGAACTAAAGGGTTGGCCGTGCAAAAGAGGGTACTTGGCAGTCATTTCAGTCACACTTTTAACAGTTAAGGAACCCAGGACCAAAACAGGGAATGAGACCTACCACTAGATTCCATCCACATTTATTAAGAACGCTTTTTTCCAAAGGTTCTACCATGTCGAAGTTACAATGTGGATGAGAATCACAGCAGGGAAGGCCATCAGCTATTTAATTAATTATTCCTCTGTAGACATTACAATTGTGAAAGCTATGCTTCTGATTCAACCAACCCCACCCTGTGGCTAAAGTCATCTTTCCAAAAGGCAAACTCTATAGCCCTCCTCTGCTTAAAATTCTTCTGAGATGCTTTACTACTATTAAGATAAAGATCAGTACTATTTGTGTGATGAGCAATGTGGGATCTAGACAACCCACTGCTTCCCCAGTCTGATCTCTTACCTGTCCCATCTCATTTCCTATTTTGAGCTGCAATGACCTTTAACTTTCTTGTGTCTTTCTCTCAGTTCTGGAGCATGCTCATCTCCCTACAAAGTGCTTCCTTCCATTCCACCCTTTGTCCTTGATTTCTCCTGGCTGACCTCCATTCAGGCTTCGGATCTTAGTTCAAACATTAGTTCCTCAGAAAAGTCTTCTCAGAATGTCCCATGTCATCTGTGTCTATTAAACTTTCTTATTACCAAACCACATCCTGATCTCTGCATCCTCTGTCTCAAAAACATAAAGTCCATGAAGGCAAAGGCAGTATGTTTTTGCAGATGTCCATATCCACCTCACACAATTCCCGAAGTACAATATATTTTATAAAATCTTTTTTTCTTTAGTTCTAGGCCTTCCTTCATTAGGCCCTCCTTCATGCTAAGCAAGCATTCTACCACTGACCTATATTTCAAGCCCTCCTTATACATGTATGTATATATATATATATATATATATATATATATATATATATATATATATATATATATATATATATATATATATATATATATATATATATATATATATATATATATATATATATATATATATATATATATATATATATATATATATATATATATATATATATATATATATATATATATATATATATATATATATATATATATATATATATATATATATATATATATATATATATATATATATATATATATATATATATATACATACATGTATAAGGAGGGCTTGAAATATAGGACAGTGGGAGAGTGCTTTC